AACATATGTACTGTAAGTGATAAATTTATCGAATTTTTGTATTGTAAAATAGATCGTTTTAAAGAAATGTACAACAAATTTTCAACAATTTATCAAATGTTCGGCACATTGGTGAAACTTTCAAAGACAATTAAACATTGCATTTCGTACTGTAAAAAGACGAAAGCAAATGTTGAACGGTTTCAAAAATTACTAGGAGATTATTTGGAAATTTGTTCATTTGCAGAAGGAAAAATTTTGTTTCATAATTTAATTTGAGATCTAACGTATGAGAACACATGTTGATATTGATTTCGTCTAAAAATCATATTATGAAAAGACATATTTAAAAAAACAACAATTATTTTTTTTAAGCTATGTTATTAGTATAATAGTTACTTTTAAGTTACTTTTAAAGTTACTTTTTTTAGTTACTTTTAAAGTTATATTATTGGGCAAAACTTTTCCTCTCTCTCAAAAAAAAAAACAATAAGGCTTGAAGAAAATGAAATTGAAAACGATTTTTGTATTTTTTAGCTCACAAAGCTTCGTAATAAACGCACATATTACTGTATATTGCGGAAAAATCATTAAAAGAATACGGTAAAATTCAGCAGAAGAAGTTATGAAATTAACAATTATTTGCAGTTCATATTTGTCCTTTCACCTTTATCACTATTTCTGTTTGTGCTTCTGAAAGTTGTTCGTCGACGACTTTCCGTGGCAGTTAAGTAAGTACTCTCAGCTGTTAATGATTCATTGTGATTACGACGAAATATAACGCTAAAAAAACATCGTGAGATTTTTTTTTTTTTTTTGAAATATTATGCTTGGTTTAAGTTCAAAACTTCAATTTAAAATCACTTCTTTGTATTCAATCTTTATCTTTTTATGATCGTTAAAATTTTATTTGAAATGATCCTTCGTGTTTCACTGATTTGTGATAGTTTTACTTTTCGACAAAATTCGCATTTCGAGATTTAGCATTGCAATTTTGGAAAATTTAAGAAGATCTAAGAAGGAAATGTAAAGAATACGTTTTGAAAGCTCTTCGAAATTCATGCATCCGGAAATAGCAAAGCGGTTGTAGGAGTGTATTCAAACACATTAATGTTTGAAAACCCCATCGCAAATAATACATAGCCGTACGTGAGATGCCCAGACGTGAACTTAAATGATGTCAATCATTAACTAGCAACGGTAAATTATCACTTCGACGTAATAAGGCTATTTTTATTTTTAATAAGCGATTACAATTTAAGATGAAACTTTTTCAATCTACGAATAAAAATTTAGTAGTTGAATATTCGTTTAAATTCTGATTAATTAAATATTTTTGGTAACTTCTTCTAGTATTATCCATTCGTTTAAAAAAATTAAGTTAAGAAAAGTATTATATTTTAAATAATTTTAAAATTGTTTTGTAATATTAATTTAAAATAAAACCTTTTTAGCCTACTAACGAATAAAAATTTAATAGCCGAATATGAAATGAGATAAACAGTATAGATAGCCAAAACGGAGCCAATTACAATAACATATTTGTGCCTTTTCAATAATTGCCTCTTTGTTCGATTAAATTCACCACCTGAAATTGAACAAATGCAAATTCTTTGAATCAAATTTTTAAAGCAGCCTCTGTCAGCATAGCAGGGCTTAAATTAAATTTTTTCCATTTTTGCAAATTGCAATATTATACTGAAATGTCAAATTGGATAAAATATTGCTGAATATTTTCCAATAGAGTGAGGTGGATAAAGAATAGAATCAAATTTTTTGGAAAAATTTATTAATTGAAATTTTTCATAGAATACTTCTTTTCAATCATTGAGTTAATTTTAATGTGGAATTTCATGTGTTCCAAAAAATGTAACAAATTGTGATAAATACAAAAAATTTTGATAAAAAATACATTTGTAATTACTTACCCTTAATGCTACTATTAGTTTGATAATCACTATCAATTTCTGTCTGTAATTAATAAAATTTCTTCGTTGAATTCAATAAATTCATTAATTTTCAATAAAATTTAATGAAATATTTGATTAAATTAACGATTAAATTCGTAAAATTCAATTCAATATTCATTTCAATTTTAAATACTGCAAATTTAAAATCAATTAATGCAAACAGCATACTTTTGTGTCACTTTCGATAATTTTTGAAATGACACGAATTAATCCACTGTAGCATGCAACTGATATGAATAAGCATAAAAAACAAAATACAATAACGGATACATTGTAAACATATTCCGTATTATTTGATATTTGACTATTACGTACAAAACATGCTGTAAATTTAAGAATAAAATTCAAAATTAAAATTCTTTTCAATTAAAATTGTTTATGTTTATTTTTTTATTTTGTTAATGTATTCTTTATTCAATTTCTTATTGGTATTTGAGCAATAAGGCTATTAAAAAAAACGCGCAAAAAAAAATCAAAAAGAAAGGATGGTAACAAATCTTACACGATGGTAAACGCAATGAATATGAAATATCATCTGTTTTTGTTATTGTTGTCATTGTTGTTGTTGTTGTTGCGACAGCTGTCGCTGCAACTGAAAGTTCAAATTTGTTGAAAATTAGAAAATTGATAAATTAATTAAATTAAACAAGGAAGAATTTAGTCAGCAATAATTGAAGCATATTATTCATGGATAGAAAATTCAATTGTTGTCACCCCATTTTCATCCTTTCCGTTTTTTAAATCTAATTAAATTGATATAAATGAATTACATTTTATAAAATGTTAATTAAAATGGAATTCAATTATTTTTCTCCTGAACAAATGCATTCAGCAGAATTATCACTTCAAAATTAATCATCCTATTTCATTTAAACATTTTTCTCCTTTTATATACATACAATTTAAATAAAAAGCTTTAGTCGATTGCTTGTTTCATTCTTGAATTCAAATGCAAATTTTGGTGTAATGAATTTAGAAAACTTACCACTATTATTCATACTACGGCTCAAATATTTTCGTTTCATTAAACATCCCGGTTTAATATAAATGGATTGCTTTCGTGAACCAACAAATAAAATTGATAGCGTAAATCCCCATGCTAATATCCAACAAATGATAATTAATATTATAACTCTTGCACTGCAAATTTCTTTGTCAAAACAGAAAATTTATTATAAAAAATCTAAATTATACTGTAGACAGAATTTATTAAATTTTAATACTGATACATTTATCACCTTTTATAGGTACATTTTTAAAAAACAAGAAAGAAAATTTTTTCTATTTTTCGAAATTTCATTTTGTTTCTCAATAATGTAACAATATTTCAATGAAATAAGCTATATCATTTTTAAAAAAAGTTAAATTTTCGTTAGCAAACATATGAATTTGTAAAATATATATTTACAGTAAGCCGATAATCAATTACGGCATATAACTACGGTAGTTTTTACTGTAGTTCAAAGAAAATTAAAAATAAGCTGGTGCTAACTTTGTTACAAATCGACGGTAATGAAATGGATATATAATGTAACTGTATTCATTAATTGTAAGCATTAACAAATTTAAAATAGTTGCCAAATTTGCGAAACGTAAAATCATTAATGCAAATTGATCAGCCTTCATAAAGTACGTCGATGTACTGACGCCCGTTGGTAACATTTTTAATGCCCATATTACTGAACACATACCTGCAAGA